ACATTTCCTCCCGGCTCCGCGAGCGCAGGTTTCTGCCGAGCCATGGTCAAAGTGGAGATTAGTGACCCTAACCCTTGAGTCATGTGATGAGACGACAGGAATGCCAACGATGGACTTCCGGAAAGCGCCTAACGATTCTTGGATGAAGACCAATGTGTCATCCCCCTCTTGAGAGGGCCCATAGTAAAAAGAAGGATCATTTCGCCTATAGGCAGAACCCCCAGCCATGGCGAACGCGTGGCCAGCGTCCTCGCTGCCATCAAGCTCATGCTGGAGCTTGAGACGCTTCACCTCGCTGCGTCCGACGCGACAAGCCGCGTCGATCGGAGTGGGCTCGTAGATATTAGACCAGGGGCCCCAGAAACCATCAAAAACCTGGTGTTCCCTAGCAAAAAAGCTGGTTTTTGTATGTGAAAACCTTTGTTTTTGAGGGTTTTGAGGGCCCCTAGTAGATTATGTTATATTTGCTAACCAAGCACCTCATCCAAGGAATCGGGGTGGGAGGAATGGGAATGGGTACTTATAGGGGTCAGGGGTCATTCCCTCATTCCCTATACCAGTCAGCACTTGTTGCATACATTTGAGATGACTAAAACTACCGATGACCTTCCCTGTGCGGGGTTGTTGTTTGGACATGTTGGCCTCGGCATCCAAGGTGAAGTTCTGCTTCCGCATGGCTTTCTTGCTCAAGCTCCCCGCACGAGACAGGTCGGCCTTCAAATCCAAGGAGGTGCCGATTTGCCACGCGACCACCAGGTGCGAGTCATGCACTCCACAGGACATGCAACTGGTCAAGACATTGGAGAAGACCAGTTGCAGCTCCTGGATGGGTGGCTTGCAGGATGCCAGGTTTGGGGATTCACCCAGGTTTCCGGGAAAAAAATTAGATTATATCTTTCCCGGGCTTTGGGGATTCACTCCAGGAACCGGGAAAATCATGAAAAATCCAAAAAAGGTCAGCCAGACCAAGTCGTTTGACGGGAAAATCCCACAAATGCATGGCACCTCGAGAAGCTTCCCCAGATCAGTAACATCGAACCCCAAAACCCACGTCGGTGACCGTCGGAAAACGGTCGACACCACGGGCGTCGAAATGGAGGTTTCATGAGAATCGTTGGCGCGGGTTCGCGTGGTGGTGGTTTTTTGAATGGTCCATGCCCTGGAACTGCGCCGGCGTCATCACGTGGCCCGACAGCCTCAGTTGGGGCTCCGGTCATCACATCCGACCGGCTCCGTTCACGGCCCACCTCCCCAGGTGTGCGCCCTCCGGTCGACCGAACGCCGTGGAACGGAGCCGGAGGGTCAGATCACCGGTGAAGATCGGACACCTTCTTGGGGACGCCAGAAGACCACGTGGGAGAAGAGAAGACATGCCAAAGACGGCCCAAACACGTGGCCTTACATCAACTAAAAAGAAACGACATGGAAGCTCCAGAAGAAAACTTGAAAAAGAATAACACTTGCAGCTCCTCGACCTGTACTGTTTGCACGTTCTGCAAGCACAGCTGTGCGGTGCCCTCCTCGAAGGGGATCAACTGGCTCTTCATCAACCGGATCTCCACACTGGGCAGCTGATCAAATTTCACCCCAGGCACTTCGACGGTGAAGTCCCACGTGGGTGAATATGCAGCGCTGGCCGGTGGGGAAGCAAAACGCTGCTCGTTCCGTAGACCTTTGTTGCAAATGACCTCCACAAAGGTGGCCTCGTGTGGCAGGCTGCGGCCGTGATGAACGCAAAGCCGAAGCCAGTTCGTGCCGAGTTCCTCTTCTTCGAAGTCTTCAGCAGAACAACATGCTTGTCCACAGGTGAAAGCGAGGGTGCTGGCTTCGTTCTGGACTTCCTTTGCAATGCCAGTGACATTTCCGAATGCTGACTTCATTTGCTGCTCAGCAATGGCCCCTTGCAAGCCCAGCAAGGCTTGACCCGCCACCTGTTGAGCCATGGCAACCAAGCTTGGTCACGTTTTATGTCCAAGCCGAGGCTACAACAGAATATCAAGACCTAGAATTGAAGGAGTAAAAAAAAATCCAATCCTTCGCCTGCGAGTCAACTACTACCAATGTAAGATTTTTGGGGCGCCCTCGTCATGGCCTGGCCATGCCTGGCATAGCCGCGTATCGCATTAGCCACAAGCGAATTCATTGATTGAACGGAAAGGTCTGAAATCATGAAAGGAAAGGTCTGCCAATCCGACGATACAGTTCGTTGACCACTTTGGGCCAACCTGAAGCCAACGAAAAAGGTGAAGCCACATGCACTACGTGGGTGTGAATGCTTGACATCTGCCTCAGGTCTCTGGTGTTTTTCAGCCATAAAGAGTAGCCTCGGAAAAAAAAAAAAGAACTGATGCACTTACCAGCAAGCTAAATCCAACATCTGCTCGCTGCAAGCAGGAACATTTTTTCGAGAGAAACCGACCTTCATTGCTCACAAAACGCACGAGAGCGCATGAGCGACTTGTTTTTCGTGCAAAATGCACATGGAACTGGTGTCCCAGCTCACATCTCTCGGAACTCACATCTCCAAGAACTGACATCTCTGTTGAGAGGGAGGAACGAAAGGAACGAGAATGAGAACATCATTTCTCATCTTTCCAAGCACCGCCTGACCTCTCACTGCTCCCCCACTCAAAGGAGACCGCCTCAGGAGCTTGGTAGGTTGGATGAACGAAATGGCTCTCTGCTTTGGTGTCATGGTTGACAAGTACAACATCAAGTTCCAACTAGCAAGCCTCCCAATGTGTTCAGGACAATTTCGGAGTGATGCCATACTTGTATGTTTGTTGTATGTCCCCATATCTTTACAGGACTTGAGTTGAAAGAAGAACTACAAAAACAAGTTTTGAAAGGAAGCGCGGCGATGATTTCTGTCTGTCCCCGTATTATATGTATATATTAGTGCACTTGTAGTAGAAGTAAAGCCTTGACATATATTGCCGCGGGAATCATGTGAGTCTAACCTCATCCATCTAACGTTCTTATTTCTGGTATCCATCTGCCCATAAATGGCGAGCCGTCTCAATGCATGACCGTTGCCGCCCTCATTCTCTCCCGGCATCGTTCATCGGATGAATCCGCTGCAGGCTGAACCAGATCAATCACAGAATCGTTGGACTCAAATGTTTGATGAAAAGAAGAAGTCGACACCTGCAGTGGATAAGGACACCAAGCTGGATGGCTAAGCTGGATAGACCTACTCGCGCATTCAGCTTTGAACTCCCCTGAATGCTAGACTCATACATCCAAACAATGCTTCTTTCTTCACATCCTACTGTTTTGAGCATGTTCCGTCCACCGCAGTCAGGACCTGGCCTAGTGCATCGAAACAGCGTGCGCAGGCGGACCTGGCCGGTGCACTGAAAGTGTTTGCGCACCACTAAGCCGATGTGAAAATGGAAAAAAGGCTTCGAGATTGATCGCAGGTGTGATAAAGGAACCTCGAAAAACCGCAGACGAAGCACCATGTTCAGATCGTTTTTGTACTCTTCAGGAACGTAGCCTCGGACATCGGACAGCCCCCTTCGCATCCTCGTACTTGGGACAAAACTCCTTTCAAAGGGCTTTCAGGGACAACCTGGCAAAGAGAACTAGTAAGGGAATCTTTAGCATCTAGGCTTTGAGGGGTCTAGGTTTCGACAGGTGGACCCATATCAGCCCAAATTCACAACTGAAGTGTTTCGAGAGATGTAGCAAAAGGATGTATTATGTGGCCCCCCCCCTATGGGTCCCTTGCGGTCTCCTGTGGGCTAGTCCGATGGAAGGAATACTAGGAGCTGAGGGCAAACTGCGGTGAAAAAATCCGAGGAAACTCATGATTCTCCCTGTTCCCCATCCACTTAGAGAAAAAGAGACACGACGATGTCCTGCGTCCCGTACGGATGGAACATGATGGAACCGGGTTTTCCCCCGTACCTCAGCGAAAGAAGACGGTACTTTGCATGGAAGCCAACTGTCAAAGACCAGTTGCATACTGCATACCCCTTAAATGTTACTTCCAGGGTATGTAAACTGTCTCTTACTCTTCTGGTCGTTGAAGATTGCCATCCACAAGAACACCCTGAGGATAGTTCAAATCACCACGTCGACTGGAACGGTCCCAAACATTCGCGGCGGCACACATCTTTTTCTCTCGTGGGTATTGGCTTGAAGCAATGCTGCTGATGGACAAGGGCTCCTGCATCACCTATGACCTTATCGAACTCAATCATGTCTTATCGTCGTATCTGCCTAGAAATTTTGGATCGTTGGGGGTCACTCTAAATATAATCTAAGCACTAGTCCACACTGAAGTATCTGAACACCTGATCAGTCCTTGGTCGATTCCTCCGTCAACATTCCCCCAGTGGCGTCAGGAGACCTCTTGGGTCATCGGTCAAGCGGCTCCGATGCCGTCCTTGCTCTGTTCTCGCCCTTGCTCTCCTTCGGGGACTGAATTCAACGCAGGAGCTGCAGGAGCCCCGGCAGCAGGCGCCGGCGCGGGGGCAGCCGGTGACGATTTCCTTCGGGTCATCTTTGGACTCGGCACAGCTCGGGCACCGCGCGGACGAAAACCGGCACGGAATCACCGTGTCAAAACCAAATGGGTGAGCCCTGAGTCATTATGGCACATGCAAAGGTCCAGGAAGATGGAACACTCACAGTCGATTGGATGTGTGTCCCTCTCACCTTCTTCGCCGGGACACCCATTCGTAATATTAGCTCTGGTGCTGAGTGCTTCAAATGGAGGTATTCGGCCACCGTGAAGCCCATGGCGGGCTTTGCGTAGGTAGCCATCACAACCGCCGCAACCCATGTCTTTCCGCCCGAGGTCTTTCAAAGTAATATCCATTGATGTTCAAAACTTAAAACGTCTCTACCAACAGGAGTCTTCTGTTCTCTCGGGGCGTGGGGCGCAGACGGGCGTCTACAGCTGGTTCAGCGGAATGTTCCGCCGATGGCCGCTCCGCGGCGCGGCTCCCGCGGTGACGCCGGACCGGGTCCGGACCGCGGACGGCGTTCGCTCATTCGACGGGTAAAGGACACGTGCGTGGACACCCAATCATCCTCTTCCGGCACTCACAGGTCTGGGCGCACTGCGCACGTAGCCCTGGAGGGGGGGGCCGGTGGTGGAGACCGGTGGCGTGATGGACGGGACTCCCCCTGTTGAAACAGCTGCAAGAACCGGCACCAAAGCCATGGATCCACAGTGTCTTTGGCAGAGAATCTGCCAAGAAACAAGATCGTGGTTGCAAAAGAACTGGGACACCCTCCTGGTGTGATGAACCGACATCTTCAGGTGCAGAATTGGACCCTTGAGCGTGACAATTGTGGCGCAAAACACCCTGGATCCAAGCTGTTCCAGCCCAGCCGTCCCCTTTTCCTTACACCGTGGGATTACACCGTCCAGCCATATTCGCATGGGGGCCCTCAGATCCAGAAGCAGCAAATGCCATAGGAAAGGAAAAAGAACATCAATGGGCCCTTGGATCTGGGGCCCTTGGATGTGATGGTCGGGATGGGCCTTTTCTTGGATCGGCGGGTGGAGAGGATCGACAGGAGACATCGAACGGCCAGGCCGTGGGAGACGACCCCCGTCCTGCGTTTCAAGCCATAGTATGGACGATCGTATTCCTCGACAGGTTCTACTGTCCTGTCCGATTTCCACCCCAAACACGCAAGACCAGCCCGCGGAGGACAGGAGTGCCTCTGAAATCATCAAATTCCTGAGCTCGGAGGACACAGAGTTCATCTCATGAGGATCTCATGGGCAATGAGTTTGGGTGGAAGTTAGGGTGCCAAAATGGTCCAGGTGTAAATCGTCACACCAATGATTTAGATCCCTCTCGCACACGCACCAAAAAAGAATACCACCCAAACTTGACTTGAGGCCAATAGGACAGCTACTTTGCTGTTTAGATCTTTATCCTTCTTTGAACTGACAACTGGACTACATGACCATGTCGCAGTCTAACCACCACCCACTGAAGACCACGGAATCAGAAAAACACGAAAAAACACATCAACCATAGCACCATACAGCTACTAGGAACAAGTGCATCGCTTCTAGTAACAAGTGCCTTACTACTAGTACAGTAACAAGAAGTAAATGGAAACAAGAATTCAATAGAAACCATAAAGCTATTGGAGGCGCCACTGGACCCGGCTCCGGTGACTCCAGTCGTCCCTCAACACGCCAAGCTTCACTCCGATCACGGCAGATGCGGACACCTGCGGTGGGTTCCGGTGAGCCGCCCCCCCTGGGCGCTTCCTGTTTGTGGTGATGGTGTGGAGGTAGAAGCTGCAATCCTTTCGCAAAGGTCCAGACCGCGGCTGCAATCATTTTGGGTTCATGTAAGCCTGCCCCCGAAAAAGATCCCTGAAAAGGCCTCTTCCTATTAGAAAACCACAGAAAACCCTCCACCGAGAACAGAAAGAACGCCTCCGGATACCACCGCTCTAGGATTTTGGATTCAAACCCTTACGAAAGAAAAATAATCGACTTCCCCTTTTCAACTTGAAACCAAAACGGATCTGTATTTGTTCCATGTTCTTCCTTGCGGCTCGTTCTTCTTCGTTCTTCTTCCGATCGAATCCACCGCGTCCGTCCCGAGCGTCCAACATCGTCCCCCACCTGTGAGATCCTTGATCTCCGATGAACCGAAAAAGGCACAGCCAGTCAGGCCCCGTGGATGAGGAATTCCAAGACCTCACGGTGGAGAGAGAGAGAGAGAGAGCGCTGAGCACGCGCTGATGAAACCAACCACGATCGAAGACGAGCATCCAATTTTTGTTGGGAAAAACCGACGCAAAAACGACCGGCGTGACGGGTGATCGCTCACACGTCCGCACGCGTGACGGGTGCTGGAAGGGTCGGTGAGGGTGCCGGATGTGACAGTCAAAATGGGGGTTTTACAAAAGCACCACAAAAAATATGACCCCTACGTTAGATACGGCCCTGGGGGGGCCCTCAATTCGGGGAATCCTGCTTCACGCACCAAATTCGGACAACAGACCGTTGAACCGTCCACAGCGAGAAAGGCATTGGATCCGACCCTCCTTCCAACGATGCTCGGGCGCCGCCAGTACGTCGCTCCAACAAGTGCCAACCGGGGACCCCTGGCCCAGGACCGACGGTAGGGATGGTGAATGGAGACACCCCGAATCATGTCTAAGTGGCTTTTGATAGACATGGAAGGGCGGACTACCCGGCGGGAAGGTGTGCGGAACCCGGCCTATGGTCCACTTGCCTTCCACCACGTCATGCACCCAGCCGAGGGATGCATAGTGTTCCACTGCCAGGTCCAAGCTCAAAGTCTTGTTGGGACCCTCAGTGCCAAGAGTCAGACAGAGAGAGAGTCAGAGACGTGAAGTAGTAGCTTCTTGCTCCGTTCGTAGCGATGCCCTTTGCTCCTAGAAGCTTCTTGTTGCTAGTAGTAAGGCCAGGAGCCCCGTTCGTAGCGTCCTTGCTCCTGGTGAACAGGAATTGCTTCACTGGTGTGAAATGAAGAGGTGACCTTCGGTCGCATGTCACAGTGAGGCTGAAACATGAGGCCGGTCTCGAGGGCTAAACCAAAACCTCCACCGATGACCCGTGCTCAGCGAACATCGGAACGGGGGACCTCTCCACGGTTTCGGATGTGCATCTCTCCACGGTTTCGTCCCTTCCCAGAGACCGGAGCGTGCGGACCCGTCCCCAAACCGGCACCGACCCTTCCGTGTGGTTCTCCGCGTCGCTGGAAGCAGGTCCCAGAAGTGCTCCTCCGGGTGTGGGAGGGGGGGGCGGCACGGGAGTTTGGTGGGGGGGTGGTGTGGCTGTTTGGACTCGACAGTTGGTCACTTGGAGTACAGTACAGCCATAGGAAAAGGCTGAAAAGAAGGCACATTCATCAGGTGCTGCGGGTTCTTCTTCAAGACGTTCACTCGGCACCGGAGGAAGGGGCGGGTCTCGTGACACCCCACGGATCCCCACGGTCAGGCTGTCTCTTTGAGATCGAAGGACTCGGAAGAGGTCCCGAAGGACTGCCCACTCATGGGGGAGTTATTAGACTGCCCACTCCCCCATGAGTGAGCAGTCCTTCGGGACCTCTTCCGAGTCCTTTGGGACTCTTCTTCTGAAACGCCTAGAGAGGTGGTTGAACGGGCACCCCGAGCCTCTCCCAGGATCGGTCGGTCCAGCGCCGGTCCGCGGCCAAGGCGACCCAAACACTCCGTGGGTATTTAACTATAATGATATCGGAGATGAAAAGTCGGCGCTTTCGATGTCTTCCAAGTGGTTTTTGAGGTTTGGGTGACTGACCGGGATGACGCTTCACAGGTCACGGGTTCACTCCTTGTGATTCAAGAGTTCATTTCACCACACCCTCAAGAGTTCACGTGGACAAAACCGCTACCAACTTATTCCTCCCCACGTGACAAAACCGCACCAAACCCACTGAGCATCCGGACCTCTAGTTGCTTTCGGTATTGCATGATATGAGCATCTTTCATCTCCTCCCCACGGCCCGCTGCGCACAAAACGACCGGCTAGCGATGGAAACGACCCCTGTTTGGAGAGCATGGATCAGAAGAATGAACAGAATTCACTCAGAGCATCAACTCGTTCTGCTGGTTCTGGGCTTGTACAAGCCAGTCCGGCTTGTGCAAGAAGCTGGAGAACATGCCGCGCAAGAAGTTCTCAACGTAGGGGTCATTGATGAAGTGCTCCGGTGTCCAATCCTTGGCCAGTCCGACGGACGAAGCCACCGAAGAAACAGCCGGGCCCGCTGATCGAGGGGATCTGTCCAAAGCTCCATCGTCCCCTCGGTACACAGTGTTTCAAGGATCTGTGTGGTGAATTCCTCGGAACATGAGGGGCTTGCGCCTGCACGCTGCTGGCCAACTGGGGGATCCCATTGCTGAGGACAGATGTACACTGCCAGTCCAAGTAAAACCCATACAGTAGATGGATGCATGAATGTCTTGTCTGTGGAGAAAAGCAGATCAAAGAAAGCCAGGTTCATCCTCTACTTTATCAGCTACACACATGGGGTGAACCCCATGTCAGTATAAAGTCATATCAAATCTCCCTCCAACGATCATGGTGACGCGGATGACCAGTTGGAAAAACCCATGGAATCCTCTACAGTGGGTTCAGAGTAGATGGCACAATCCCCAAGTTTGGTGGTTCAGATGGACCTATCTACAAGACGTGTAGGGGTTGTGCCATCAAGTGCCATCTACTCTGAAACCACCACCATTTCAGGTCCCCTCTCCGGACATTTTGTCGGTGGAGCTGCAAAACAGGCTTCGGAAGCTCCCAGAAGATGCCGAACATCTCACCCACGGTCTTCCGCAGAAATTGGTGAAGTTGACATGGGGGAGTTGACATCAGTTTGGGAATGAGAGAGTATCAAGTTTGGGAATAAAAGAGGTTCTTGAAAACCAAGAGAGATTACAGTAAGTACATCTTGCAGGACTCTTCTGACCCGCCGTTGTGGCCCCAGTCAGCTCAACCTAAAGAGCAATTGACCAGTTACATAAAGTGGTCGAGAACGCCACTGTGCGGTCCACTCTGCATCCACTGTAGGGAAATTTGCAGACTGTGGAATATTACCATCATCACCACTGCTGAAGAAAGAAAGAACTCATATCTTGGCAGGACTAGCCGCTATTTACGGACTTTCGGGGTTCTTTCCTATCTCCTGTGCTGCGGGACCTCTTCCTCCAACCAAAAACCAATCACAAAACCCAACTCCCGGGCTCGGCCTCCAAGTTTCTTCACAGGGTGCATTGTGCAAGGCGGGCGATCTCAAACTGCCGCGCGGCGATTGCCGGGCGATCGCACCGCGATCGCACCCGCGTGGACGCGGCGCCGTACGCTGATCGCGCCGTACCGATCTAAGGGGCTATTAATAGATACCCGCTTGGGGTGGGCTGGTATAATAATATAGAACATGAAATGGTTGGTCTGTGTCCTGTGGCCAAACCCCTTGGGGGATCAGGTCGCATGTCTTCCGCTGGACAAGCTTCGATTCGGTGTCAAATCCGTTCAAATTCATCGCACACAAAACCTTCACATTAAAATGACATGACATGACTGTGGGTCAAAACCCCTTCACCCTGCTTGACCGCTGAAAATAGACCATTAAACAGCTTCCCTTTCTCGGCCCCCCCAGTGGCACGGCCATCGAACCGGTGGGTTGGGCCGAAAAAACACCGAGACCGCCTCTTCCACACGCAGAGCTTCGGGCATCCGAAGGCCGTGCTGGCAAAGGCGCCGGCGGCGGGGTTCATGGCCTCGGTGAAGAGTTTGGGCCTCCACCGGGGCACTGAGCGAGGAGCTCTCGGTGATGAGTTGGCTTGGTGCCCCTCAGGCGAAGGAAGAAAGACGTTTGGACAAAATACATGAGGTGGGGACCTGCTCATGCCAAAATGAGCTTCGGAAAGGCCTGCCAGTTGTGAAGCTCAGATGCAGGGCGAAGCTTGGGATGTGCCTCCTATCCGATCATGCCTGGTTGGTCTTTCCTGCAGTTCGACTATATTTGGCACCCCCCAAGCAAAGGAAGTTCCTGGACTCGGGTCACCAAAAGACAGACCATGTCTAAAATCGTCTTGGACGTATTCCAGGGTGTTCTCCAATCTGATTCACCTGGTTTTGGGGCTTTTGCATGCTTTGGAAGTTTGAAAGCTTAAACCCAAGTCAAACGATTGAAGGAGACTTGCCAGTTCGGATGGGCGGTCTTCTGAAAGGATCCAACTTCCCACCCCGAACCTTCTTCGGATCCTCCCCCTCCTGGGGGAGTCACGTCTCTCACCCAGTGACGTTGTCACAACCGCAGGTCTCAGGGCACAAAGCGCGCCTCGGAGCGGCACGCGCGAGCTCGACCGAGCCCTTTCGACTCCACTCGGCGCCGGGGCGGAGAAGACCGGGTTTGGGTGATTTTTGCACCTCCACACGTTCCCTTTTTGCTCGAAAATCCGGGAAAACGCCAAGGGTTTGGCAGACCCGTTGAGATGGGCCGAGACCCAAAGAACTTTTTGGGGTGTGCCTTGGCTGCTTAGCTCAAAACTTCCAACTCCGCTTGAGCAGGTCGGGTTCCCCCGCATGACGACAGGGTGAGACAGCTACTCCGGCCATGGCGCAGAAGTTGGGGATGCGGGATGGTGATCATTTCTTGGGCCACGGGTTTCCAGCACGGGTTTCGGAAACGGACAGTCGAATTTGTTTCCGGCATGGGGACCTTGGATGTCAGCGCATCAAGCGGTCACGTAGATAAGGTCGAATGAAAAAACGTTTGGATCAATTCCTCTTCACGAAGCCAAGAAGCAAGGCGGTCATGTTCCTGGGCCGATGGCGACCAAGACGTCCGGCGACCACTCCGATCACTCGGATGGCCCCGACGATGGCCCTCGTGCCCCCCCCTCATGCGGCATCGGACACCGTGACAAGTCCACCTGCACCGTGACGAGTCCACTCTGAATCCACACCCCACCATGGATGGGTCACCCACCATCGTTCACCCACCATGTAGTTCGACAGTCGTGTGGATGCGTGGCGTGTGGACCGACACCGAGGTTGTGGATTGACCTGAAGGATCCTGAAGGATCATCTCTGGTATCCGGTATCCGAGTTGAACCCGACAGCCTACACTGGTGGATGCTACGTTGCGGACTCAACCCGTGCTCAACCGATGAACTGCACCAGCCAAGGAACTTGCTCCTTCATAAAACCCCTCGCATCACCAAAACCCAGCTGTCTAAACAGAACATTGAATGTGAAAAACAACTCCTTCACAGGAAACCATGCACGACTCCTTCACTCAGCTTTCTTTCTGTGGCCACAAGAGGTCTTTCAGCACCAGAGTCCCGAGTCCCGAGATGTGTCTTTTCGTCTTTTCTCGGTGGATGAAAGAAGCTTGAGAACCTTCAATTCAGTGACTTCTCAAGCTTCTTCTTCACCCCGTCTCTAACTGAACTACACCCCTCCATCGGTTCCGTGCCCTCTCGACCACGCCTCCAGGCACATCGCGCCAGATCCACCTGAGCACATCGCTCCACCTGCGCGACCTCCAAGAGCTGTGGCCTCGCGCCAGCAGCAGCGGAGACGGAGGCGGAGGCGCAGACGGAGCAACTGATTCTTCTTTATTGGAGATCGTAGGCTGGCTAGACCAATGTGCAAAAAAGGTTTGAGGAGATCACCCTTGTGCGTTTCAATGGTGGGAGGCACCTGCGCATGCGACACCTGGAATGGGACGATCGGAGATCACCATCGACCTGGAAGATCGTCAGGTGATCCCGCCGATGTCTCCTAATGATCCGCCCATGTTGATGAGAACAGACACGATTTACTGTTCTTATGGTCATCTCAAAGGGTGTCCACTGTCCACATCTCTCTTGCAATAGGCTATCTGATAGAACTGGCTATCTGCTGCTATGGGCCATCTCTCCTTGATTGAATTCGAGTCAGACCCGGATAGCAGTCTTGCATGCCCAAACATCCAAAACCCCTTAATAGAACTGGTGCTTCAAGGTGCCCAGCCGTTTTTAGAGCCTTTTTTCTTAGGGAGCGTTCCTGAAAAAGAGACTGACTTGTCCGATCCAGTTTGGGTTCCCCTCCTCCACAGTTCAAATTTCGAGCTTTTTCAGAGCATATCAGTGTATGGAGGACTGGGATGGAAAAACATAACCTTAAAACACACCACAACAACAGGGAACCAGTAACCACAGGTTGCGTCCATGGCGCATGTCCATAAAGGGATAGGTAAACATACTTGAATCGAAGCTTTGCCCAAACATTTGGGCAAAGGTTGCAGCCAGCAGGGTAACTTCCTATATCATACTGTCTGGAAAAACTACATCACACACCATTGATTGATGCAAGGGGCCCGGATACAAAACTTTAGGGGTTGTGCAAGCAGTTCTTGTATCCGGGTGTATCTGCCATCCGTCTGACCGATGGTAGGCAGATCCAGCGCTTGCTCTGTGGAATGTGACCCGGAGTGTTTCGGAGTGACCCGGCGACTCGAACGAATCCCCCGAACAGGTGACCCACTGTCCATCGAACGAACCCGTCCAGACGTGCGGGTTCAGCTGCGACGGTTCTCGAAAAACGGGTGTCTTGCTGGCCAAGCGTGGGTTCCGATATCTGGATGACAACGATGAAGCAACCAAGAGATCGGAGCTATAAATGGTCTGCTTGCTGTTGGAACAAATCTGAGCGGCCTGTTCTCAGGTGTAGAACATGAGAATATCTAGACTCCTCTTGCACTTCCAGTTTCTGTGGATCGCTTTGCCATGCTTTGCCATACGCCGGCTCGAAAAAGCCCTCGTTTGGCGTGGAACACGGCCTGATCACCGATCTGGGATAGGACTCATCCATGCATGGCATATTGCCAGCTTGGTCTGTGACATCCTCAGGACAAACGACCGGACCGACAGGTCAAAATGTGAACTTACCAGATTTGGGGGTTACTCCTGGATTTATCCCTGGCCGTGGATGGATTTATCTCGAGATGCTACATGACATTCGGAAAGTCCAGCTCGCTCATTCGACTTCAACTGGATCTTCCGAGACTTCGAAAGCAGAAACGGTTGGTTTCGATCGTTGGCCAAAGCGATGACACATCGAAGAAAACAGGCCAGGCAAGACATCTCCCTCTTTTTCATCCCTCGCGGAGGAAAAAGGAGTCGTCCCTGGATAAACCTTCGGAACGTGGGCAAAACAGGGAAAGCGTGGACCATCTCTGCCGGGCGGTTTGAGACCATCTCTGTGCTGCGAGGTCCACAGGATTGGTCCTGCGACGTCGCTCGGTCAACACGCGAGGAGCCAAAATGGCGCTTGGAATCCAGGCTGTTCTTGGCACCTTGCGGCACTCTAACAGAGGCGGCAAACCTTTCACCAACCAGCTGACAGGAGTGGCCAGGTGTGCAGCTGACCGGACCGGATCTTGCCTAGGTTCTTCTACCAACTCCGGAAGTGTTTGGTCCTCATGTTCACCTCTGATATAGCAACATTGATATACATATATAGGGCCTAGGTTGGAGGCCATCGCTAGCAGGAGTACAGGGGCTGGGGGCGTGTGGTCACTCCATGTACAGGCAGTTCGGCGAGCTGTTTTGCGGGGACCGTTGCACGACCGTTGAACTTTCGACCAGCGGCAGACAGTTCAATAGCTTCCAACAAGTTGATGATGTTCATGCTGGGAGCATCCTCAGCTGGATAGAGGTCATCCGGTGCCTGTAGATTTGGGTGGACATCAGAATCTATTTCTGCAATCACCAGGTTCCAGTTAAAAAGGGCAACTCTCATTCAGTTGGATTGGCTCGTTTCCTCACAAGACCAACACATTTGATGAAGCAGAATCATGTCAGCTGTGCCTTCGGCTGCGTTTGCTTGACTGGGCAGACGAGAGATTCGGCAGTGACCTAATGCCTAACCCCGTCATCCCCCATCTACATACCAAATCACATTCATCTCCTTAGTTTGCTGACCGGCGCATGTTTTCACCCCAATTTTATGGGCTTCAACCCAAGCCCGTGGCTGGGACAAATCCACTGAAACAGCTAGTCAGCTGGTCACACCAAGCACCCCAAGTTTGTTTGTTCGGCGGAACAGGTGCCACACAAGCTCTGATACTAGTGCAAAATTGCATCAAAGCTTGCTGTCCCTGAGTTACCTGAGAAGAACGAAAGCGAGGTGACATCGAACGTCACCCACACATTCAATACACATGTGCTGTGTACTACTCTAGGGTGGTAATGATGCTAGTGATGCAATACTTAAGTCACCTTGCATCTTCTGCCTCAACAACCCACCAAAAATCATATCTATGAAAAAATAAAGATAGAAAAAACACCGGTTTACATATACTTTGCCCGTCTGCCCCCCCACCCCCTTAAAGACTCACTCTGTTCGCATAAACGAACTTCAGCCCAGCCTGTCGGCTGGCTTTCATAATTGAGTCATCGTTGTCTGCCATTTCCAGGGGCTGGCCAGCTGAGGAAATCGATCGAGCTATTAAACCATGGCACCGGTGGGCCACGAGTCAAACGGAAAAAAAGAAAAAAAACGCCGAGCGACGGACAAAGGATCCTTTCGATGCATGGCAGGGGGTGCATCCTCCCAGAAGTCCTCCAACTGTGCCTGCCTCGAGTGAAAAAAGATGCGCGTGAGTTCAAAGCTCGACCCTGTCGACCTCAAAGATTCGCTGGACAAATGGTTGATGATTCTCTCTTTCTTAGCAGCTTTTCATGGCTTTTCATGCCTCAAAAAGGGAGACCACGCCTTGGCACGTCCGGTTGAGTTTAACCGGCAAGCTAGGCACCCCAAGACACAGCGCATCCCGTACTACAGCACCACTCAAAAGAACACACGGTCACTCTGGGAGCAAGCTAGGAGAACTCCAAATTCCTCACTTGATCTTTCTTTGCTCTGGAGACACGCTTTACCCACACCGCACCCCTTTTCACTTCAAATGTGTGTCTTTTTATATAGTTCTTGAAGTCTTCTTGGTGTCTCGGGCATATCGCTTCAGTTCCAACATCAGGGGTTCTCTATCCACGTCAAGTGTCTTGGCTGAGATGTGTGTTCTCCGCCCCCCCCGGTCTGCTTCGGGTGACGTCACGTCCCACTCGGGCACCGTGAAGAGGACAGGGTCCGCAATTCCTGACGGACCGGCGCAGCCCGAGCCGCGGTCGGAAGCTGAAATGGAAGCGGCTCGTAGGCCAAAGAGTCTTTCAATTGTTCAGGTTCACTGTCACCTTCGATGCTTAACTTACCTGGTCCAAATGCTATTGATGCCCATGAGTGATGATTGCTCCACCCACTGGGATGAAGGAGGCGTGCATAGCTACGGCAACCAACCTCAGCTGAGTGATTCAGTTTTGTTAGAAGTTGGCTAACGGTTAATTAGGTTAAGCATGTGACAATTCCCACATGTATAGACTGTATAGACTAGAGGTGATCTTCTTTTTGCTCCTCATCGTGTAAGCTCAAACGATGGAGTTTAAGTCACCGTCTGAGGATTCCTGATCGATTGTTGGATTGTGCTGAATGTGAAGATTCTGCTGCAAACAAGAACCACACTTAGGTCCTGGTCTTTTCCTTGGAAGTGGAATGGCCACCATGTTTTTACCATGCTTTTCTACAAACAGGGTGGTGAAATCCGCTTCCATGAAACAATCCATGTATCATAGAGATTGCCAGATGTCCCCTCATGTCAGTCGGCTCAGTCGTCTCACCATCCTCAGAGGCCCTCGCAATTGGTGCCATGGTTCCTTCGGATGGAAACTGTGGACACTCTGTGAACACTGCCCCACTCCATCTTTTTTCATGAACCCATCCCAAAGACTCATCGAACGGCAAAGACTCGTAGAAGAAACCAGTTGAGAAATATCAACCCAAGAGTCTTGAGGGGGGAAAAAAGGAGAAGCTTATGAAAATAACAACAAAAAGCATCCCATCAAGGCACTCACCCGGAAGGCACCCACCCATCGTTTCCACCGTTCGAGCGGGCACCGCGCGGGATCTGCGGTCGCCCAAGCGTCGCAAGACCGTGCGCTGCTCGCGCGTCAGATGCTCCGGCGCCTCCTGGTGGGGTGAAGAGACTAGGCCAAAAAACGTTGCAGACTTCGAGACTTCGCCATTGGTCTGTCGATGGAAAAAGACCGTTGGAGAAGGTGGATGGTTGACTTCTGCTGGTCCTTTCTCACTTCGGTGCTTTGGGTTGGTGGATGCGTGAGGAAGAGAAATCTGGTGCCCTGCTTTTCCCAAAAAGAATTGACTTTCAAACACCTCCAGAACCCCAGGTAGAGATGTCATGTTGATCCCTGAACACCGCCCCGAGGCGCTGGAGCCATCAATGGACAGTTGGAACGAACATCTGTGACCAACAGCACATGGGGATGCTGCTCCTCAAGGCGTTCACCTCATCAGCGGCCCCGCCCGCCGGAAAGCCGTGAAGGCTTGGGGCAGTCATTGCTGGAAGAACACTTGCCTATTAGGCACCCAAAAATGTTCACCAGCTGAAGTCTTAGGGCAAAGGGAAAACATATGAAAAGATATGTTTCTTATATATATATATACCCCTCAGAACTCTTGGCTCAAGTCCCCAAGACTGTTCAGGGCCAATCCCAGATATAAACCATTTGGGAAGACTGAACCGTAGAAGAGTCTGATCCCCGGTTATGCCGATGACCGTGAGACCCGGATGTTGTCCATGGCAGGTGCGCAGGACCTCTCCCCAGCCGCACCACACCCACCCACCCGAACCAAATCCTCAAGGCCGCAAGGCCGCGGTTCCTCGAAACTCTTGGTCGTTTCGATGATGCCAGTGGCAGGATTCACCTTGGAACCACGTGGGAACCACATCCAGTTCGGTTTGATCGTGACTCTTGGGTCACAACGGAGTGATCAGTGATCAGTTGGAGTGTTCTCGGTGAAAACACTGAACAATTGAGATGTGTTAGTCACCAGGATCCTGTTGGATCGTGCCATATGTGATTCGTTCAAAAGAATCCTCAACACAAGTTGGATCACAATAAATGAGAAACTCTTTAGAGAGTCATTGATCCTCTACATCAACCTGATGTGAGCCGTGGATGAAATGCTGGCCAATCACATGTTTCTGAGGCTGGCCACATGTGGAGGGCCCAGAAATAAATAAGTAAAACACTGAAACACGCGTCCAAAGCAAAAATGCAGAGAATAGCATTCTTTGTGAATTGTCACCATCTAGTGGTTTAGTGGTTTCAAATATCACCCTTCTGTCACCGTCGAGTGGATCAAGCGCTCGGCGATGGCGTTGTTTCGCCTTCATTCGCAGGCTGTGGGAGTTTGGGGAGGAAGTGCATCGACCTGCACCAGACCATCTTCAACGACCTGCTCTCTTCGTTCGGTTCGACCAAGTGTGGCTTGAGCGAAGCCCACCTGGCTTGCCCACAGTCCTGCCGAGACACCGCGAAGATGAAATCCTTCCTGCCAGGAAGGCTGTCACGCTCAAAGGATTAGGTGATTAGGGGCGCTGCACGTGCTTCGTTCTGACGGATCACTGAAAAGAAGGAAAGCACAGACAAGAAACACCCTCAGGACAGGACACCATGCAAGGCTGATCCAAAAAGTAACGAGGTACGACGAGCGACAGAGCTTCACTCGAGGAGATGACGGGCAGCTGAGAGTCCTTGTGATCTGAACAGGATGTTGGTCAACCGTGTTTAGTGATGCTGTCAAGCCACTTAGGGCAGCTTCACAAATGAAGGTCTACACGGACTCAACCGGAGAAAATGCGTGAAATATGCAGGAAAGGAGCTCTTGTAAGTATCACCTCATCTCCGCTTCCTGTTGTTGTTCCAGTTGTGGAAGGCGGTTGCATCAACCTGTTACTGTCCATACGTCTCTTCTGAAGCACTGAAAAGGATCGTTTTTGTCCGCTTTCTCTCCGGTCTCCAACTCCACGGGGAGAAGTGTCACGTCCATACAAGCCCAAAGCACCATCCGCGGATGTGACCACAGGACTGGAATAGTTACCAAAAACCGCGAGAAAAAAAAAACACACCAAAAAAACAAGCTCCGACCCATGAAGAGGGACTGAGGAGACGCTGGACAGGGGACATAGGTCTGAAGTTGTTTTGATTTTTCTGTTGTTGGTTTGTCCATTGCTTTTGATGAGCTGCTTTACTTTTGCTAATGCTTGCATATCACTGCCCTCACAAAAACGCGCGACTCTACAAGCTTCACCACTCCACACCCCATGAATACCCCTTCTTCTTGATATTTACTACTGTTTCTTTATTAAGCCCGCTCACCCCCCTCCCCACTAGGGAGAGGTAGCTACTAGCTACTAAGACGCTAGTAGTATGGACGCAGGATAGCTCACGGGCCCGGGGGGAGCTTCCTTGAAGAAGCGCTGGCACTAATGATTTGGTTCCTAGATGTTTAGGGAACTTAAGAAATGTTAAAGAAACCTTGTTACTAGTAGCAATGCCCTTGCTACTAGTAGCAATCCCCTTGCTACCAGTAGGGGGAGGAGTGGGCTTTGGAACAAACAAAAAACACTTGTTACTATTGGAATAGATTATGTATTATTATGTTAATACATCACTGGAATAGTTTTCCATCTACCCCATTATGACCCTCCATGTAGGTCGCTCTTCCAGTCCTCCCCGGTATCCCAGACTGGGTGGCCGTGCTCGCCCCCGCAAAGGATGTTGATTGCTAATTGAATCCTGCGCCAGGCCGGCACACTGGGGGCAAGTCATGGGTAGAGGGCACCAAAAGCATAGGTCGCTAGAGGAAACTGCTTGCTGAGCGTCCAACTTGAAATTACCTGTGCATCTATTGACAAGCAAAATGCCTCTCTTCGTTTAACGAGCAGAGATTTTAGTAGAGCAAGCTTCTATGCAAAGGTTTGGATGGACGGTGGATGCTTCGTGCGAGTTGGCCATGTCAAGGTTTTCACCAGTTGATACAGGCTGCAATCGTGAGACCGAAAATGGTTCCAAGGATGGTCCGCCAACATCAAATTCTCACACCGATGGGGGACGATGATGTCCAAAATGACACATGGGTGTGCAGCTTGTCTTTGAGGAGCTGTTCCGGGAGCAGAGGTCTGCCAAACGGACTGGCGGGACGCCGGAAGATTTCGGGACGGAAACAGGCTCCAACAAACGAGGGGACCGATAATCACGAAGATCGGAAGGGCCCCGGCGATATCTTTAAGAACATGCACGGCTATTGAGGAGATCTCAAGAAAGGCAATGAGATCTAAGCATGCAACAAGATATCATGTAACTTTGCTGCCCTTCTTGCTTGTCTCTTGTTTCTCAGTACGGTAAGCGATGTCTGTTCGACACCAACCATCGCTCGGAATCGCTCGTCCAAGACCGCACCGAAGTCGCGCCTGTGATGCAAAGGCCAGAGAAGCAGAGTGTATGCTGCAATCAATCCACCGACCAGCAGGAGAAGCTTTCTGAGTTGGCAGACGACAGATTTTCCTTCCTTCACCCGATCATACCTGTGCCAAGTTGAGCACCCTGGCCTTTGAGGGACATATTTTCGTTGGCCGGAAAGGAAAAAATATGCAGGAGTAGAGTAGATGGGTCCTTCGA